TTAAAAAAAAATCAGGTGATATGTTCGCCCATCTATGCAAATGTCTCTTTATGTATAGAGACAAAAGAATGAAGTTAATCACTGTCTGTCACTTCAGTTTATAGTGATCATGTATATTTGCAAAGACACTGATGAATACACCACCAAACATCTTCAGCTTTTGGTTTTATTTCTCATCAAACACAAAACAACTGTAAGCAAATTGTGTTAAATCATATCTAAATTAATTCAAATGTTAGTCTATGTTAGTAACCCTTGTTTTAGTTAAATGTTTTGCCATTTTAAAGGGTTAGTTCACCCAAAAATTCTGTCATTAATTACTCACCCTCATGTCGTTTCAAACCCGTAAGACCTTTGTTCATCTTCGGAACGCAAATTAAGATATTTTGATGGAATCTGAGAGATGTCTGACCCTGCATAGACAGCAACGCAACTGAAATGTTCCCAAGTCCAGAAACGTATCAAGGAGATCTGTAAAATAATCCATGTGACATCAGTGGTTCATCCGCAATTATACGAAGCTACAAAAATACTTTTTGTGCGCAAAAAAAAAAAAACGACTTTATTCAACAATTTTTCTCCTCCGCATCACCCTGGTGCCATTTTGGAGAATATCCTTACGTATGCTGTTCTGTGTCAGCTTCGTCACACGGATATGCTGTTTCCATTCAGATCAAATCACAACAACGTAGGAAACAGATCCGGCGTTACGCAGCTGACACAGATTCACATATTCTCCAAAAAGGCACCAGGGTGATGCGAAGGAGATGAATTGTTGACTAAAGTGTTGTTGTTTTTTTCTTTTGCCCACAAAAAGTATTCTCGTAGCTTTGTATAATTGCGGTTGAACCACGATATCACATGGATTATTTTACAGATCTCCTTCCCAGCAAGCAATTTTGCGTTTAAAAGACATCTATTAGCTGTCTAAACACAGCCCAGACGTCTAGGCTAAAACAAGGCTGAATTTGGGCTGTCAGTGAAAATTTAATAGACGTTTAACCATAGCCCAAGAATAGACTAGTCATCAAATAGACAGCTAATGAAAGCCTACATATATACATCTAATAGACAACAAAATGGCAATCCATCCAAATAAATTAAATATACAACTTTTATTAAGAAAAATTACATTTTTAACAACTTGGACAACTTAAGACAATACAAAATGATAAAAATACAAAATAATTAATGACCAAATAAAATTTTAGGTTTTCTGGACAAGTTTCTGGACTTGGGAAAATTTCAGTTGCGTTGCTGTCTGGTCAGACAGCTTTCAGATTCCATCAAAATATCTTAATTTGTGTTCCGAAGATGAACGAAGATCTTACGGGTTTGAAACGACATGAGGGTATGTAATTAATGACAGAATTTTCATTTTGGGGTGAACTATCCCTTTAAATATAGTTTGGCGCTTTTTTGATGATCTGCCATTGATCCCGCCTCGCTCTGAAGCTTGGCTCCGATCCTCTGGGGTGGGTGGGGCATTACAAAATGTATTTATTTATTTATTTCCTTCAGTTCAGATTCATCACCCATGTGTGCAAGATATACAGTAGGTGGCGGTAATACTCCTAAGGAGTGAACGGCCATTGAACAAAAAGAAGAAGAAGAAGAAGAAGAAGAAGAAGAAGAAGAAGAAGAAGAAGAAGAAGAAGAAGAAGAAGAAGAAGAAGAAGAAGAAGAAGAAGAAGAAGAAGAAGAAGAAGAAGAAGAAGAAGAAGAAGAAGAAGAAGAAGAAGAAGAAGAAGAAGAAGAAGAAGAAGAAGAAGAAGAAGAAGAAGAAGAAGAAGAAGAAGAAGAAGAAGAAGAAGAAGAAGAAGAAGAAGAAGAAGAAGAAGAAGAAGAAGAAGAAGAAGAAGAAGAAGATCCCACACGGGGAAGGCAACAGCTGCTCCGAAAGATGGCGGAAACCTCAGCGGGTGGACGGAAAGGATCGGTGGAGTGGGGGGATAGTGAAGGAAGTATGGATGTAGGAAGTGAAGAGGAGAATGGTGGAAATTTAGGGAACCGGTGGAGTGAAGTTAGAAATAGTCGAGGAGAAAAACGGAAGAAAGGGAGTGATGTTGATGAATCTGACGAAAAGAGTGGGGATAGCATTAAGTGCATTGTGAGATTTGGGGAACAGTTAGGGGTAAGCAAAATTAATCCGTTAAAATGGATAAAGATCATAAATAGGGAAATAGGAAATGTTGGGTTTGCTAAAGTACTCTCTAATGGAAATTTGCTAATTGGATGTAATAATGAAGAACAGGCAAATAAAGCTCTCAAAGTAAAGGAAATAGGAGGGATTAAAGTTGTCAGCACAAACAGAGTTGGAACTAGAAGTAAAGCTAGGGGTCAAAAAGGGATTGTTTTCGGTGTTCCTCTTAACATAGGCATGGAAGAATTTAAAGGTAATCTAAAGGGAGGAAAAGTAGTGAATGCTTATAGGCTAAAGTTAGGAAGGACACTGAAACAGTAGTGATAGAATTCATAGGGGAGGAAATTCCAAAAAGAGTGATGTTGGGGGTAATGAGTTATATCATAAGAGAGTTTATACCGGGACCAATGAGATGTTTTAATTGCCAAAGATTTGGGCACGTTGCTACAAGATGTAGAGAACAGTGTAGATGTGCGCGATGTGGGGGAAAGCATGAATATGGCAAGTGTGAGGAGGGAGTAAAACCAAAGTGTTGCAATTGTGGTGAGGGTCACAGTGCAGCCTTTAGAGCAGGGTTCCTCAAATCTTACCCTGGAGGTCCAATGCGCTGCAGAGTTTAGCTCCAACCCTGATCAAACTCACCTACCTGTGATTTTCGAATGATCCTGAAGACATTGATTAGCATGCTCAGGTGTGTTTGATTAGGGTTAGAGCTAAACTCTGCAGGAAAGTGGATCTCGTGGGCCAGATTTGAGGATCCCTGCTTTAGAGGATGTGAAGTGTTAAAGATGGTGATTCAGAAAAGGAGAGTGGAGGAGAAGTTAACTTATGCTGAGGCAGCATAACTGGTTAGAGACCAAAATACAAAGCAAAGTGTTCAGCCAGGGGATACAGTTAGAGGAAACAAAGACGTTTCAGAAGATTATATGATAGTTGAAAAGAAAAAATTGGTGACATTTATTGCTGGAGTTATTAATAGTACAGCAGGGATTGAATCAAAAACTAAAAAAATACAGGTAGTTGTAATAGCAGCAATACGTCATCTTGGATTGGTGGACTTGACCTGGGAAGAAGTTAGGGATGAACTTCAGATAAGGTCAAGTCAGGATACAAATGGATAATACATATCAATGAAGGTTTTTCAGTGGAATGCTAGATCCCTGATAGCAAATGGTCAGGAGTTCAAGCATTTTATTGAGGAATGTTATATAAAACCGGATGTAATTTGTGTTCAGGAAACTTGGTTGAAATGTCGTTTGGATTATGTTTTACAGGGATCTAATGTAATACATCATGATAGGGAAGAAGGGAATGGTGGAGGGTGTGCAACATTTATTAAACAAGGAATACAACATAGGGTGCTGGGAAAAGGGAAAGACCAAGAATATATTTCTGTGGGGTTATGGGGGAGAGGACAGGAAATAGTTATTATAAACTATTATAATCCATGTGAACTATAAGGCAAGCTAAAAGAGATAGCTGGCAAAGCTTTTGTAGTGAGATTGGGAGAACAACGCCAGTGGGTGACGTGTGGAGTATGATAAAAAGAATGGGAGGCAATAAAAGAGAGTGGGTATATCCAGTATTAGAAACAGAAAGGGAAATTGCGGTAACAGACAAGGACAAAGTAGAAATGCTGGTAAAAACATTTGTACGGATCCATGGGTTAGGGAATTTGAGTGAAGAAGGAAGGAGGAGGAGGGAAATAACAAAGATACAACATCTAGAAGATCTAGGAAAAAATGGGGAATAGAAGATCAGTCAGTTAACCTCCTGTTTACTCTAGATGAACAGAAAAGAGCAATTCATAATTTAAATAATACACTGTCGTCTCCAGGAAAAGATCAGATCACAAATATAATGTTGAAACATCTTAAAGATGGGGCTATGGGCAAATTTTTTTATTTGTGTAATAGAGTATGGGAGGAAGGAAGATTGCCAAATGCTTGGAAAGAAGCTATAATAATTCCAATAAGAAAGCGTGGCAAAGATCCTTCTAAACCATCTAATTATAGGCCAATAGCTCTTACTTCGAATATATGTAAATTAATGGAAAGGATGGTTACAGACCGTTTGACATATTTATTGGAAAAGAGAGGAATATTAACTAAATATCAAAGTGGTTTTAGAAAAGGAAGAGGAACAATGGACCCTGTTGTATGTTTGGAAAATGAAATTAGAAAAGCTCATTTTGATCAAACTGAAAATGATGAATATAGATGGAAGAATTTACAATTGGATTAAAGATTTTATGGCTTACAGAAGTATACAGGTGAGAATTGGAAATGAATTGTCAAACAGATGTGAGATAGAAAATGGAACTCCACAAGAGAGTGTTATAAGTCCATTCATTTTTTCCATAATGATTAATGATGTATTTAATGAAGTACAGCAAGATGTAGGTCTATCTCTTTTCGCTGATGATGGAGCTCTATGGAAAAGGGGAAGGAATATTTTGTATATTAATGGAAGGATGCAAGAAGCAATTTGACGGGTAGAAGAATGGGCAGGTGATTGGGGATTTAAATTTTCAGTAGAAAAGACTTAAGACTATAATTTTCTCTAGGAAAAGGATTATACCAGAAATAAACTTAAAGATGTACTGGAGGTCCTTAGAGAGCGTTCGAGTTTTTAAATTTTCAGGTATTTATTTTGATTCAAAACTTACATGGGTGGATCATATAAACAAAGTTATTGAAAAATGTCAGAAGGTATTAAACATCATGAGATGTGTTAGTGAAGTGGCATGGGGGGCAAGTTTTTTGTCATTAAAAACTGATTGATTGATTCCTGAAAATGAACCATGGAGTTATATATCTTGCTATGCACCTAATTACGCTGGTTGCCAGCAGCCGGTAAAACCCAAGAAGAAGAAGAAGATCCCGTCATCACTAGCGCGCGTCCAGTCAGCGTCGAGTCTTCTGAGGAGAGGTGAGCAGATCTCGGTATTTCACAAATTTGAACAATTGTGTTGTTGTATGTTCGTGTGAATGATTGTTTCGATGTTTGGAGTGATAATGTTGCTGTTACTGAATGTCTCGTTATCTGTGAGAGGAATGAATGCGAACTGATCTCCAGTTTTGCTGCTGCTATTTTTTAAAACGTAACGTTAAACGTCTTTTGAGATTTATCTTTCGCAGATCAAATTTGTTATAACGTACTTTACATGGTTAAAATTATGAACAGATACTGCTAAATACTTAACATAATTAGTCTGTAAATGAGCAACGTGGGATATTTTAAATCTATACAGAGATTTATAATATATACACTGAAACATTACATTTTTACATTGTGGTAAGTTACTTTCTGTTTAAAGAAGATTTTATGATGATCACTGTCTATTACTGCACATGTTAAAATATAACATGTTAAAAATATAATAACTTTAATTGCTTTGAATGTAGTTGTTCGAAAATCAAACTATATTTAGATGTGTTCTAGTGTAGTTATTTACGTTACCTGTAATTGTTAATGAAGATGGTTGTCATCAAATGTCTGTGTTTATGCTTTGATTTTTCATTCTTATTGTTGTTGATATTTGGAAGAATTCACATAGTATTCTTTTCTGTTTTTCTAGACAGATTAAAAATAAAATACGGTTAGCAATGTTGACAATAGAAAGACAGAAATGCATAGATTGTGTGAATTACCACATATGTGATTGCAGTGTTACTGAATGAGCATTTTAAACTGATGTGCTCTTTGTGTTGATGCTGTTACTTTTAGTAATATAATAATTTACTAATAATTTGGTTCACTTACATAAATGCTTAAATGTGTAAATTAGTAAAAAAAAAAAACGGACTGATTTATTGTTGAATTTGGCAAATCTGCCTCTTCCACATAGAAATTTGTGTTCAGTGAAGCTCCTCCCACAAATCCTGCAGAATGAAACCCACTGAAGAACAAACAGGTTGGTGTTTATTCTTAATTCATCAATTAGGCTGAAGGTTATAAAGCTTTTAAGCAGATTTAGATTTGTTGTAAAAGGGTACTTTTTTTGAATAATACTTGTTAGATAACTGTGTAGTTGATCAAACATGTTTAATAGTTCTCCCTAGAGAAACATTGGATTTGTGCCTATAATGTTTTAAAAATAATAATTTGAAGATCAATCAATGTACCTCATTCATGGAAAGCTTCAGGGAAATATACGGTAGGGGTGGGCAATATAGCCTCAAAATTATATCAAGATATTTCAAGAATATTTGTGATAACGATATTTATGACGATATAGGGGAATAAAAACATGGACCGTTTTATTGATTACAGCTGGCAGGCAGCAGCATTTGTTAGTGCAAACAAAATGAAGGGCATTTTCCTTTTCCAATGAGCTACTGTCATGGCAGACTACCTCATTTGAAGTGTAAATCTATTGTCATAAGGTGGCAGCAGCAGCTGTGTGTTCGAC